TTATAAAAGAAAAATAAAGTAAGTACAATCTTTACGGATAAAAAATGTTGCTGTTATTTGACATCAACAAAAAAAAAAGAAGAAGAAAATAGTTGATGCAGTTTAGTTGTTGATTTCTATTGTTTTTTTTTTAGTTTTATTTGTTAACACAATACATTCATGTCACCAGCGTTCATTTATTATACGGTTTTTCTTTGGTAATAAGACTTTCTTTCTGTGTTCACTAATAATCTAAGATACTGTTTTACCTTATTTTCGTTTGTGTTCATATGGGAGAAAGGAAATAATAAAAAAATTCACATGTCAAAGCATTTTTTTTTCTTCAATAAGACAAACTTTTTTTGACATAGTTTTTGACGTTGAATCTGAATAGGATAACCATTTTCGTTCATACACTTTTTATGACTCAATTTTCTCGAGATCAACATTTCTTTATTATATACAAATTCTGATCCATCTCATTTTGTAGAGAAAATCGAATTGTACATGCCATTACATGTTTTCAGTTATCCGACGTATTTCTGACAATGTTTCAGTCTATTAAAATGAAACATAAAATTCAGCTAAGCTTTATATTTATTGTCAGATGATATTAAGTGATTTACTCTGTCTCTTTTCTTTCGTTTAACTGTAACAAATTTAATGGTATACACAACTCGACCTTGTTTATGAGACGGATCAAAATTTTTATACGATAAAGAAATGTTTATCTCTAGAAAATTGAGTTATATAAATCGTATGGATAGAAATGGTCATCCTATTCAGATTCATCGTCAAAAACTGTATACAAGAAAAATTTGTCTTATTGAAAAAAAAAAAACACTTTGATACTTAAATACATTCCCTCGTCAGTGGGTGTTAGATGGTGAATGTGAGACATGACAGAATGAAGAAAGGAAAATGAGAGTTTAAAAATGGTAATATAAATTGACTTTTCTTTCTATGTGTTTTTAAGCACATGAAAGTCGATTTACAGCATAATTTTTCTGTTTTAGAATGAAATAATAGTGTTTTATTTAGAAAAGAGCAAAACCTCCTCTGTCTTGTTTTTTTATTCAATTTCAGATAAATAAACATTTTTTAATGTATTTTTTCAACTATTAACCTGTAAGTGATGTGGCAACAAATTTTGAAATTGGTTTGGCTCACTTTGCTCGCTTTTTTCTTATTTAAAGTATGTTTATCAAAAGTATTTTGCACATATTCTTAACTAGATAATTGAGATCAACAGTTTTCGTATGAAGGAGATGAAAGTTGTTTTCTTTGTTAAATTTATATTATCAAAAACTTGTTTGATTTCTTCTTTTTTTATTGCTTCGGTATCGAAACCTTATATTTTATGTTTTGCACAAGAACAAAATAAGAAAAAAATTGTCCAATGTGTTGTTGTTGTTGTGTATTATGAGAAAATTTTTGACAGTGCAAACAAAAAAATCTTGATATCAAGGTGATCGAGGTTGAATATGTTTGAAAATAGGTTAAATATAAAAGATGATTTACAATTATTTAAAATTGAGAAGAAATTATATACGTACTTAAAAGGAATGTGTCTGATGCAGAGCTGACCCGAGACACTCAGAATTTGGAGGAGGGAGGGCGGGGCGAAAACTTTTTTAACGATTTTTTCTAGAAATTAAACTGCTTTTCCACAAAAGAATTTTGGGGGGAGGGGAGGATCCACTGGAAATTTTTCGTTGTGCAAACTTTATTTTTTCAAAAGTGTTTTTTCATTTGGTTGATGACCAAAATTTATTTTCAATTAGGCGGACATCTGGTTTTGGGAGTTAAAAAATGATTATTTTCGCATAATATTGTCTTACTATATGTCAGATATTAATAGAAGTAAGAAAAGTCGAATTCAAAAAAAAATCCTTGAAGGTTACCCTTGCTCGACAAAAGCTTTTATTCTTAAAACAAACAAATTATAGGTGTAGCATATGTCGACGAACATTTTGGTATAATTTTCATGCATTTTAAAGACTGGGAAAATCATTATACTGGAACCATCTTTTCGGAAACACCGTCAGTTCGGAAAATAATTTTTTTTCTCTAAAACTAAAAAGACTAGATAAAAAATTTTTTTACTAGTAGATAGCCAGAAGCGTCTAGATTCCAGATACATGTTTTTTATAGTTTTGAATTAGCTTATTTCAATACAAAAAAGTGAATTTTTCTTAGAGATCGATATTATATAGGCTATTTGTTACTTCACCATTTTTTTCAAAAATTCGCAACTTGAAACAAAAATTTTTACGCCATTAGATAGTTCGTAGATCAAAGTAGATTTGACAGTTTTTGAATTTTTGAAGAAGCGCACTTTCGATTTTTTACCAAATGTCCGCTTATTTGCCCACTGTGAACAGTACGAAATGAGGATGCAACAGATGAACATTGTAAATTCAAAAATTGTTTCATTCTCAGTTTATATGTCATCAATTACTCTAGATTTGTGAATTTTTGAATAATCTTTATTTCATGTCAGCATAATTCAAAGTAATTGATATATTTCATCATTGTGACTTGTTTTTGTCACGCTTAGTTCTACCATCCAGTAGCTTTGTTATTGATAAAAGTTCGTTCTTGATTTACAAAACATGTGGACTATTTTTTCAAATCTTTTTTGTTTTTCAGTTAAGGAAAAAAATTTATTTTTATTCTAATAATCGATTAAACTAAACGACTAAGATCCAGATCAAAATTTTACTAAGATTTACTTCAGCATAAAATTTGCTGTTTTCGATATGTCAAGGACTCTTTTAGGTTGTAGATTTTCTGATAATTGTTGCTACTTCTTTGTATGATGTTGTAAACGGTTTTTTTCTGCAAAAAATTTCCTACAATATGTTAGTCATCTTATTTCATATATAAAAAAGAAATTTGAAAGGCATGTAAAATATTGATAATGAACATGTTCAATTGTATAAGTGGCTAGTTAAATCTCTGAAAAATATGCATGGTTAGTTGAACTAAATGTATGATTTACGTACGCATCTCTATATAAGAAAATGAAAATGTTTGTTTCTCACCATATTCGACTAATTATGATTTGTTTTTCTTTTATTTAGCTACTTATTCTAGTTTTTCGTATATTACAAAATTATCGACAATTTTTAAATAAATTATTAATATTTAACGATATAACAGTAACCGATGAAATCTCAGTGAAAATTTGTCAAACAATTTCATCATCCTCATCATCGATTAGTGATTATTTATCAGAAATGTCATATTCATCTAAAACTAGCCGTCCATATCAACAATCATCAAAAAATTTAATGCAATTTACTGAAATATATCCAACAAATGATAAATTATCAGGACCATCACCTAGAAGTGGTCATCGAGCTGTTATAACCGATTCTGATCTATGGTTATGGGGTGGCTATTTTCCACGTCAAGTAAATCAAAATGAATCAATGTTTCGAGAATTATGGAGATATAATTTTGCCATGAAACGATGGACAAAAGAAGAAACAGCTGGTGATGGTCCATCATTAACATTAGCTTCACATGCTGTTTGTCTTCATCGAAATCTAATGTTTGTATTTGGTGGAACGGGTTTTCCATTTGGTCAACACGGTTCAAATGATCTTTATACATTGAATTTAAAACAACGAATATGGAAACGTCATAAATTATTGAAAGAACCACCGGGAAAAGTATATGGAGCGAGTATGTTAATTAAAGATAAATATTTATATATTTTATGTGGAACAAATAGTTTACAATATAATTCTGATGTATATCAAATTAATTTATCAACAATGGAGAGTAAAAAAATTGGACATACATTTGATGAAATTGAAGAACCATCTGATGCGGGACGGTAAAATATAAATTGATTCTATGGACAATAATTATTTTGTGTTTTTTAACTTTTTTAGATATCGTCAAGAAGTTGTATTACACAATGATAAAATATTCGTTTTTGGTGGTGGAGGAATTTCAGGCATCTCTTTTTCATTGAAACTGGTATAAATTAACTTTCTTTTTTTTGTATTTTAAAATAATAATTTCGAGAAATTTTTCGTCTATTTTTTTTTAAATTTAGATTCCCATATTTGATCTCGATACACATCTGTGGTCATTTTGTAAAACGACACCGGATCCTGTACATAGTACGACATCTTATTTGTCTTGTAGTAAACATTTTTTTTTGACTTACGTTTTTTTATTCATTTGTTTAGGTTATCCGTCTGAAAGAAAATTTCATAGTGTATTTAAAATAAGTGAAAATCGTTTATTAATGTTTGGTGGTGCACATTTTGATACTCAATTAAATCAACATGTTTTAGTCGAAAAACATTTATGGTCATTTGATTTAAATAAATTAGAATGGACAATGTTACCGATAGAAATGCCAATGCCAACTTATTTTCACGCATCTGCAATAAATCAAGTAAATTAGAATTGTAAAAATTGTTTTATCAAAACTTCTTAGGATTTGTTCGTTTTCCGAAGGAAAAGAAAGTTTGAAGTATAAAGTTTATATACGAGGATTTTTATGATTTGCACAGAGTTTCTGTCAGTAGCTGTAAACTTTTGGGGATGAAATTGTGATTTGATCAAATTTTAATATAACTTTGATGTTTACAGCTACTAAATGAACTAGTAATAGATAGTGCATTATTGATCTGATGTTGTTGGACACAAGTTTTAAAAATTGTTACCATATCTCTTTTACTGATATATTAGACTTTAATAATTTTATTACGATCTTAATAACAAGATATATATATATATATATAAACGATAGTGTGTCTCATATGTTAGTGTAAAAGCTTGCCAGCGTTGCTTCTACAAAGCAAAAATGTGAAAACTTCCCACTGAACTGTTGGATTATAACATAGTAATAATTTTTAAAACTTGTGTCTAAAAACATCAGATGCACTGTCTATTACTAGTCCATTCAGTAGCTGTAAACATCAAATTTATATTGAAATTTGATGAAATTTCATCAGTCACAATTTCACCCCGAAAGTTTACAGCTACTGAAATGTGTGTTGACAACTACTGATAAAAAAAAAACCTTGGAAAACCACAAAAATTCTCAGATATTAACTTTATACTTCAACTCGGAAAATGGACAAGTCCTAGGAAATTTTCACAAAAAGGATAGATTGGACTAATGACATTTTATATACGTCTGTAATAGATTATGATAGGAGATGAATATGCTTTTCTCTTGAATGAAGAGCGTAAAAACTAATTCTTAAACTTTTTCGAATGTCTTATTCGCAAAGAGAATTTACATGTCGTCATGGAGCACTGATCTTTTGGTTTTTATCTATTTTTTAACAAAAAAAATAAATTTAAAACTTCATTTCATATGAACAGAAAAAATCCTATTAAATCGAAACTACTATTCTCATTTATACATCTTCTATATTATAGTCCAATAGTTCAATAGGAAATTTTCACATTTTTACTTCATAGAAACAACGCTGCCAAGCTTTTTTTTATTGTCAATGATTATTATCTTGTTATTTTTATAGCGTGGCGAAATATGGACACATGGCGGCGTTTTATTAACGGATAATGATCATGATAGTGATGAAATAAATGAAAGACGTATTTCAAATTTATTTATGATTTATGTTCGTCCAATGACTCTACAAGAAATAGCATGGTCTAATTTTGTAACAAAAATTCTTGATAAAAATATATTAAAAAAACATTCGTTATTATTACATTCAATGATCCCACAAAAATTTCTTAATAGAATGCATTGACTCAATTATCCGAGTGAAAATCCCCTATTTTTTTATATGTTTAGTTTTTTTATGATTGTTTTTTCTTTTTTTCTCTTGTATTCGTGCATACCTGTTCTTTTTTTTTTTAATAAGCTACCTTCTGTTTTTGTTATGCTTATTTTGATATGCTTTTGTGAAAGTTTAGTACGGTTTCTAATGTCAATCATTTATGTGATTGCATTTTTTTGATGCTTATTTCTCGTCTTTTTTTTTTTTATAAAATATATTTATAAGAACTCGTCTAATTAATATCGAACGGGACTACATACACTAAATCTAAAACAGAATCGTATGGCTTAGAATTCATCCTGTTTTTCCTTCCTTTTTTGTTGAAATATCAAAGAAAAATTGAAACTTCGTGTGTAAGGGTGAACTAACCTATTTCGTGGTTCGTCTATTTTGAAAAAATTAATCTGATCTTTTTAGAGTCGAAAGAGTAGAATTTGCATCTATCTCTTTTTTTTATTGTGTGAATAGTTTGAATGAAATGTAAAATGTTTCAGGAAGTTTTTGGAAGAAATTTATTTATAAAGTTGTACCAATAGTCTCTATGAGCATCGGAAGAGACATATTTGAGTGTTCTTCCTGGAAACGAGTTAAAAAATATATCTTGTAGAGACTTTTGCGCTGATCACGAATATCAATATCTTAGCTGCTTCCATCACAAACTGAAAAAAAAAGCGAAATTTCAGGTTTTTTCGCTTCAGGTACTCTCTACTACTAGAGATGTCACTTAGCAGTCTGGAAAAAATAGAAGACTGTTACTATTTCAACAAAAAAGATCGGTCTAATAAAAGTGATGTATAGCAACGGAGAGTACCCAAAGCGAGAAAACATGAAATTTCCCTTTTTTTCATATTGTAACAAGAGCAGCTAAAGGGTCTAATAAAAGTGATGTATAGCAACGGAGAGTACCCAAAGCGAGAAAACATGAAATTTCCCTTTTTTTCATATTGTAACAAGAGCAGCTAAAATACGGATATTCATGATCAGCACAAAATTCTCTACAAGATAGCACATTTTTAACTCTTTTCCAGAAGAGACACTCAAAATATGTTCCCTCGTCAGATGAAAAGAAGATATACTGTAGATAATGATGAACAATTATATTGGTTTTATCCTGCAGCTATCAGATGTAGGTATAAAAGTTACTCAGAAGTGATAATTTCTTGTTTTCAGGATATCAGTGATTGCTAACCCATGTGCTCAATATCGGGAAAATAGCACCCGGTATAATGCAAGATTCCCGGTAGTAGAGTCATTTGAAACTGACTCGAGTCAAACGTCATACTTCGACGAGTCTATAATAGACTGTTTCTATAATTTTTTTCAGTACGTTATGATTTGCAGTGATCACAAAAAAACGTTAATGTGAAAAAACCATAAAGTTTTTGGAAATTTTCTATATTTTTTATATAGCATCACAATTGCAAAACAAAATAGTGAGTAGAAAGAAACGATCACCGCGTGGCATTTTATAAGATCGTGGTTACCGACAGCATTTCAACTGAACGGCCATTATTCTAAAAAACGTACGACATGGGAAGGATGGTGACCAGATTTGATGAACAGCCTTTTTTTTATGAATTTATTCATATAAAATGATTCAAATTCTTAAATTTTAATTATTAATTCATGCATTTTTTTAATTTTTTGTATATGAAGAAGTGTTTTCGTTTTACCACTTTTTATAGTATTTTTTACTCTTTCTAATTTGATATGTCTGTGATTTGTCTGACTTGTTTTGATATAAATAGAATACGTCACTGTAATATCAGTCATTGTATTTTGTTTAATAGCTCATATTGAAATATACTCTCGGAGTTGCATAAGTTCAGTTTCTGCGAAATTAGTTTTTGTTTTTAATTGTTTTCACTATAACATATAATGCTCACGTTGTATCGACCGTACAAAACAAGAGAAGAGAGAAAACTTTTTGTTTTGTTTTAAAATTCTGAATGAGGTTCATTCTTTGATTAGAAACTTTTAAAAACAAAACGTATATACAACATGATATATAATTTGCATTTGTGTTGTTGTTGTTTTTATGCTGTTTATGTTGTATTTATTCGGTTTTCTGTTCTGATCATAGTGTGGAACAGTGTTTAATCTAAATTATTTTTTCCAACAAATCAAACTGGCTCATTACATGTTGGTTGAAGTTGAATAAATGTGACAATAATAACAATACCAGCAGTGTTTCATCGCATGAGTCATCAGGCATACAGATATATTAGCAGATAAATTTGTTAGAGTATGTAGAAAAGCGAAAAAATATACGAAAATCAATATGATTTATAAAAAAAAAAGTCGATAAAAACAGCGAGAAACGTGCTTCTCTCATCTCCTGAGATTATTTGGACCTTTACATGAAAATGCTGATGGTTCTATTTACGATTCTTACAAGAATATGTATTGTTTTACATTTTCTCTTCCATTTGGTCGGTTGTGTGAACATGTGTATTTCTTTGTTATTGTTCGTCATTTCACAATTACTTTAGAGATGATTTTGATGGAAAAACTTGAATTTTTCATTAAAAAAAAGAATATAAAATAATCACTCAATGCCTATATTCCTAGTCATTATCAGACTGAAAATCAACATATTTTCTTCTAGAAAAAATTAATATCCTTACCAGTTCCGCTATTTTTAGAAAATGACTAACAGATCATAACAGTAATGATTAAACTATGTGACCAACGGGAACATCGTGTCTTCACTAAGTTACAAAAGAATATGACAATTCATCAGTTAGTCTAAAGAGAATATTTCATTAGGAACACATTTGATTTTTGACAACAAATAAATTGCATTCTAAAAGAAATAATGAATGTATTGATTTTTTTCAGTTTATTTTGATTAAAATCAAATATCATCAATAGGAAAAATGAAAATTTTTTGTTTTTTCTTATAAATTATAGTCTAGTTTTATTCTTATTATCTACATCTTAACAAGAAATGAGTTTTGAACATGAAAAGAATAAATATTTGAAGAATATCACAGAAATTTATTCTTTTATAATGTAACGTCTGACAAAATTTTCGTTTTTCCAATAGAATTCTGAACTAAAAACAAGTGAGAAAAATATAATTATTATTAGTTTTTAGCTAATACATTGTTTTATTCCACTATACACTAAAAAAAGAATAAAACGCATTTATCGAGCAAAGCTCTTTTCTCTCTCTCTCTCTCTCTCTCTCTTTTTTCTTTTTCACTGTAAAAACGTATATATAAAAAACAAACAAAAAAGAAAAAAAAACAAATGAAGATTTTCTACAAATCAAGCTTATACAGTCGTGGATTTTATTAAACGTCTTGTTAATTCTATATCTTTTTCATTTTTTTCACTATTTTTTTTATACGAGGAGGTTACGAATGAATTACTGTCTATAGATCGATCATGTGATTGATGTAAAAGTGAGTTATTATCCGTTATCAAATTATTATGATTATTATTGTTATTATTATTATTATTATTATTATTATTATTATTAAATTGAGAGGATAATGTATGGCCATGTTTTCGTTTTTGAGTCGTTTTAATTATTGAAAATATTGATAATAATTCATCACGAAATTGTGAACCACATATACAAAGTATAATTATATTTGATGTAGATGTAAATAGTTCAAGAATACTACCTAAAAAATTTGGTAATATATTATCGCCTGTACCATAACAATTGTCTGTCTCTTTACGAAATAAAATATGATGACAAGTTGTAAAATTGATAATATACGATTGTAGTGCACTTAATAAACTTAAAGCAATTTCAACTAATATTAAATAAATACTTCGTAATTCTGCACGAGAATGACTATGTTTTCTTATTGATGGTCGATTAGCAATATAGTACAAACACATGATACTTGAAATAATACAAATAAATGATGGTATAAATGTACCAAGAATAAATCCGATTGTATAACGATTAAAAGATAATCGTCTATCGTATACAAATTTATATGAATGTTGAAATGTTGATGGTTTTAATGGAAATGTACAATTAGCATATAATTCTAAAAATTGATAACTTTGTGTACAAAATTGATGTTCAAGAAAATAATCTGTTTTTAATGGTTTAAAATAATTAATTTGTGTTTGATTATCAATAAATGTATGTAATTCTGATGGAAATTGTTTTAAATGACAATCAGTTGGTTCAATTGATTCATCTTCCCAATTTATAATCATATATTGACGTAAATAAATGTAAGCAATTGAACGATGACGATATAAACGTAATTCCTCTTCACTATAACATGTTTGATTATCATTTAAAATTACATCCATATTTGAAAATAAATGACGTCTTTGACGTGAAATAATGGAAGAATGTTGATTATTTATCCATGTTTGTAGACCAGATGGAATCAAATTTGTAGATTTCATAAATAGGTCAGATGGTATATAATGATTATCACTATCTAACGCTGAAATAGAAAACAGATTACAAAATATTGTAAAATTTATCAATCAAACGTTTATCAGAGGGTGGACAGAGATTATTAAAATTCTCTGAAATACGAGTTAACAAATTTTTCAGAAAGTTTAAAAAAAAAATCTCATTTTTATCGACATGATTTTCTCAAAAATTTGAAAAGCCTATTCGAAAAGTTGACACTATGGACACTTCCACTTCGTTAAAAGCTGAATTTGTCACTGAAAATATTGGTGGTAAAATAGAGTGAATACTTCGATAGAAGATGTTGAAATAGTTATAACTCGAGTTAAAACGACAAATTTCACAACAGGTAAAAAAAAACGTTTTTCTCGTTTTTTGTCCTGTTTTTAAAATTTTAATTTATAGCCTCGATGTTGATGTCAATCGGTAGAGGACATCAAGATGCATCAGTCAAGTTTCGACTTGAATTATTTCGCTTTAATCTGTCTCATAGAATTTTGGAATTAAAAGTATTTCTAAAAACACCTTGAACGAAATTTCACTCGAAGGAAGCATTTTCAAGGAAAAGTGTGGATACAAAGGTTGTTCAGAAACAGATTCTCTGGCATACGAAGAGAGAATTTTGCAATTACTAGATTTTTAAATTGAAAACAATACGATTTTTTAAAATTATAAAATTTCGTAAAATTTAATTGAAAATCTAGTGTCCATTTCAACCGAAAATAAGCAAAATTTTGAAGTATCGAGTTTAACTTTCAAACTTTCTCAGTTTATAGAGAATACGTCGAAGTATATGTCCTGAAACTTTTGTTTTGTTTACGGACATTATTTGACTGAGAAAAAAATGAATTACTGAAAAAAAATGTTGATAAGTGTTGGACTTAGCAGACTTACTTAACTGCCAAAAATGAATTCTGAAACTCTTAAGGTAGCTCATCTTGTAGCCCTTCTCTATTATATGAAGTATTACTTCAGTTGTTTCGTTCACATGCAGTTATTATTTTACAAATCGGACTTTAAGCGAGTAGAGTAGGATAAATTAACGGTTAAGTAGCATTAATTAGTCAATAATAAAAAGGAAAGGAAAAAAAGTTTTCGATTTTTTTTATGTACTGAATAATCTTCACACATTTCTCTTGAATTGATCTAGTTTTTTATTTACTGGACAACGAGCTAGAATTTTTTTTTAAAAATAGCTCCGAACTGAAACATTGAACAAAATTTTTCAATTAATTAGTTTTTTTCTCACAAGGAAACCTTTCGAGATGTTCCCTTCCAATTCCAATGATTTGTACATGGATCGATAGACCTCAGTGAAGTAGTAAATACCCTAAAAGGATCGTGCCCGTGACTCTTGAAGACACGGTTTTCTGGAAAACCAGTTTTTCAAGAACTCTAAAAAATAATCAAAACATTTTTTTAATGAGGTATGATTGTAGCCTGTAAATTTCTGATTAAAATGAGACGTCTTCCAGCTCTGCACCACCTTTCTTTGCAAAATTATAGAATTTACAAGAAAAGCCCTAAATTAATTTCTGTAGCTTTTGAGCTGACAATGAACATTTAGGGCCTTTGTTGCAAATTCTATAACTTTGCAAAGAAAGGTGGTGTAGAGCTGAGAGACATCTCATTTTAATCAGAAATTTGCGGGCTATAATCATATTCATAAAAAAAAGGTTTTGATTATTTTTCAGACTTCTTGAAAAACTGATTTTGCAGAAAACCGTGTCTCCAAGAGTCATGGGCACGAATCCTTTTAGAGTATTTACTACCGTATGACTGAGTGTATGAGTATGACTGAGGTCTATCGATCCATGTACAAATCATTGGAATCGGAAGGGAACATCTCAAAGGGTTCCCTCGTCAATCAAAGTTTCTTCTATTCGACGAAACATTTTTTTGTTTTATTTTCCACACTCATCTGTTTTATCTCTTTGAATTGCCCTATTTCCCTTGTGTCACCATCAATAATAATAGAAACTGATTCTCTCTTTTGGTAGACACAAGTAAATGAATTTCTTTTTTTCAATAAATAACTTATAACGTAAGTTGAGAAGAGTACAGACGCGAGAGAATAAAATGAAATGAAATCTTTTCTTCGCCTGTTGATGAGATTGTGCCCTTCTCACAAAACTAATTGAGACTTTACTACTTTGCATGCTACTTGTGTTAACTTTAGTTATTTTTACTGTCAATACATGCATCTTGCTATGCTTCTTGTGAACTAAGGTAAGACGTTTTAACTCTAGTTTAAAACTTTTAAAACTAACTATTCATAATCGAGAGATTTTTGAACTCTTCAGTGCAAAATGAGTTTCTCCATCCACTTTCGAGAACTGAAATCAGTCATCAAAAGCTTCCTGAAAGTTCAATGATTTTCCCAACCTTCAAAAATCTTAAATTATTTTTCATAATTTCATTTTTGGAAATTCTTCAAGTATTTCTAAACTCCGTTTTGTCAGTTATCTAGAATGCGATTTATTTGTTAGTACTATACTCACTTGCATCATGTAGAAGAGATGTACTACTGGTCGTCATTGTTGCTATTGTAGTTGCAGTTAATTTTGTACTAAATGTAAAACATTTTTGATTTCTATATCGTGTTTGATTAATCATTCGATCAATATCCATAAGTTGTGTCTGATTTAAGTTCAAATTATGAATACAAAATCCATCGTATAACTGTACATATGAGACAATAATTCCATAGATAAATGCAATTAGTGTCAATAATAATGCGCATGTTTTACTTTCACGATAAGATAACGAAGAAAATGTTCTTACACGTTGAATTGACATAAACATAAATATTAACATAGATATTTGAGTATACGTTGTATTATAAGTCAAAACGGACAAAGATTTTTTATAAATCATTTCACGATATTTAATAATATTAATAAATTTTGTTAAATATGAATTAAACCAACATGATTCTTGTGCATCAAATATTAACATTTTTCCAACATGTGAGATGAATAATAAAAGACAATCATTAAAAAAGAGAGCAATAAAATAAACGGATATTGAACGATGTCGAAAACGTGGACGTAAAAATACAATAATACAAATAATATTACCAATAAAACCACAAATAAATATGGGAGCCAAAACATTACATAGAATACGAGGATCGATATTTTCTTTGTTTAAACGCATATTTGAATGAATATAATTTTATTTCTATAATATAGAAAATAGAAAACTATCAACTTGTATACCCAAGCAAAAACGACCCAATTTTTTGGGTTATTTATCTAGATTCAGGTCCACGTACATCTAGATGCACGTGGACCTGAATCTAGATAAATAATCCAAAAAATTGGGTCGTTTTTGCTTGGGTAAATGAGTAGAGATATGAAGATACAAAATTAAACATTTACATTTATTCATAGATATAATACAATTACTCTTTTCCTTTTGAAGATTTTGAATTCTATTTTTTAGAAATTTTTGAAATGAGAAAGTACATACAGTAATCTGGAACGATAAAATAGAATATGTGGCATTGTCTATGTACGTCTTTGAGTAGGTTCTATCATCAATGTATCAGATAAAGAATTTTCGGTAGTAAAAGTATCCGTTAAGGAATGATAGTGTGACAAATTTGGAGACAATTGAATTAATAGGATGCACTGAGAAATAACGACATATTTTTGATAGAATTTTTTCTCAAATTAGACTCGACCAAAAATTTTGATTTTAATGTTAAAAGATAGAGAATTTTGTGTAGATTTTATTAATCTGGATCATTTTTAAATAAGCATGTACCGTTCTTTTGTAGCATGAAAAGTATTAGATGTTACAAAAACAGCATTTGCTCAGCACTTGACTGGAATAAAATATCATTTTTCTTTGCTAAATAATTTAAATAAAATACAGAAACGTATTTGTTTCTGAGACACAAAACCAAATTTTTGGACTGAGTTTTACTATGTTGAAAGTCTTCTACAAAATATGCCTAATTATCTATTTTTCGCGTACTTTTATGCTAATGAAAACATTTCAACTTCGTCATTCGTCGGTTAGAAAAGAGATCAGCCCTTCTATAAAGAAGAGCATTTTGTAGCGCTTTAAATTCTGCATCTGTTTACATAAAAAGGAGAATTTTTGTAAGACCAGATTTTGGGAAAATGCCTAAAGAAATGTTAGATGCCGTGGATGTTTTATAGTTTTCGAAGGAGAAGTAACTAAGCTTATCAAACCCAACATACCACGAGATATACCGAAAAATTCTATATCTCTTACTACAAGAAAGAAATAGCATCCAATACTTTTAATGCTACAAAAGAATGGTACATGTTTATTTAAAAAAGTATATATTAATAAAATCTACACAAAATTCTCTATCTTTTAACATCAGAACCAAACTTTCTGGTCGAGTCTCACTTGAGAAAAAAGTCTATCAAAAAGCCAGCAATTTAATCTGGACCATCCGTTATATTGATGATACATAATTGCAAGTTGATTTCCTTCATAATTGGACAACAGAGACTTAACTCGGTAGTTTCTGATAGTTTAACTTTTAAATTTATTTCTGTTTGCATTCTGAATAAATAAAGTTTGAATGAACGAAAACTTTTATCAAAAAATTCAAATCTTCAATGGAGATACATCGTGTAGGCATGCACCGCTGTATATTTTATCCTTTTTCACAATCAGATTGATTACAAAAAACAAGATATTAAAGTTTTTTGACGATTTAACTTTGTAGAGTAAACATTTTTGTACAAAATGACACATGGCAGAACATTTTTTTATCCCCTTAGTGAATCGCGACAAGAAGTACTGTTATATCTCATTTTATAGAAAAATGTTTGCTCTCCAAATCTCAGTGGTCAAAAGAATTTTAGAAGTTTATTTTGTGTTAAAAAAAGCTTTCTGTGAAAAAAACAAGGGAATGCTTAATATCAAGTAATATGGATTGTATCGTACTTGAATTTAAGCCTTATAGGTGACATTCGACTTGATTGTGGATAATTACCAATTGGCCTAGATACCCTTTCTTCAAATGTGAGTGAAATATGAAGCCGATAGAGTGAAACTCAAGATGGTTTATTCTGTTTCGGTACAAAAAAATTCTTCTTTCTCCTCGACACCATCTCCGATGAACTTTTAAAATTATTTTTTACAGGAAATGCACCTCCCCTCTCCACATGTTCCTGGATCCGTCACTGATCTGCAGCCACTTTTTCAGTTTATGTTTTTTATTCATCAAAAAATCGGTTTAGATTTTATAGAACTTACGAGGGAACCGTTCCAAGTGATTAATCAAAACATACTTTTCATGGGTTATTTTTGATGCTGATTACGAATCTGATATTCATTTCGGCCCATATGACTTTCTAGTATGGATCTCCAGCAACCAGGTCTCTGGAGATCCGCCCCGGATAGTTGAACGAAGAGATTCGGCTATGGCCAGTTTGTAGAGCAAGTCAAGTTACACAGGTACGCAAGTTTTCAGACATATTAAACACGTTCTCTCAGAGATATAAAATTTTTACCTTNACTTTCTAGTATGGATCTCCAGCAACCAGGTCTCTGGAGATCCACCCCCCCGGATAGCTGAATGAAGAGATTCTGGTATGGCCAGTTTGTAGAGCAAGTCAAGCTACACAGGTACACAAGTTTCCAGACATACCAAATAAGTTCTCTCATATCAAATTTTTAATGTAAGAAAAACTACCATGTTTATAATTTCCACCAGCGATGAAGGTAAACATTTTGCATCTCTGAGACAACATGTCTGGTATGTCTGGAAACTTGTGTACCTGTGTAACTTGACTTGCTCTACAAACTGGCCATACCAGAATCTCTTCGTTCAGCTATCCGGGGGATGGATCTCCAGAGACCTGGTTGCTGGAGATCCATACTAGAAAGTCATATGGGCCAAAATGAATGTCAGATTCGTAATCAGCATCAAAAATAACTCATGAAAAAGTATGTTTTGATTAATCACTTGGAACGGTTCCCTCGTTAACCGTTTTTTCTATGAGATAATTAACGGTCACGTGATACTTAACAGTTGATGCATACAGGAAGAGCTTCTAAAGATAGAAAAAAACAAACTCTAACAGATTCTGCGAAGATCCAAGGAATTTAAATAGTGTCTAAGATGTTTCTAAAGGACGTTTTACTCGATCGGCTTTCCCATCTACTCGCAAGATAGTTGGCGTCTGGTTATTCATATCTAAATAATAGATAGAATTGCCTAATTTAAGATTAGAGCGGAAAATAGGTGTTTTTGCTGTAGTTCATTATATAAACTTTTTAAAACAGCATAAATTAATTAAAATTCAAACTATAAAACAATAAGATAATAATTCATCGTCCTATAGACGAATACTTATCTCTATCGCTCACTTATCGAGACGTTGGCTAAAAGGAAATGATAATATTAAAAAATTTAATGAAAAAAATAATCATTAGTCGAATTTCTGATGATTTATTAGGACTACTACAGCTGCTCAATTAGAGAATGAAATTATAAAAAATATTTATTTATTTATAAGTCGATAAGTCTATTTTCTCATTCTTTCTCTTTCTCTCTCTTTCTCTACCGGATGAGAGATACTTATACTCTTTCCGGTTAATACAATAAAATATTGCTCTATTTAGCAAAAACTGTGCAAAAACACCAGAATAAAATATCATTATATATGACCACTTTATACAATATCTTTTGAAAAAACCCTTTCTTTTTTCAAGCTAGAAAATATTCATGACAATCGTGTGAAGAAGACTCACCAACAACTAATATACATTTTTATTTTTTGAGATACCAATGATATAAACCTTAATAATGATGTGAAAATAGTATCAACATAGAAGTAACAAAAATAGCACGTACACAACACGAAAGAGAAATATATGTTTCTGTGTGTATGTGTGTGTATGTAAGCAAGAAATAATACTAATAATCATAATCATCGAAGACAAATCGATGAAACATATTGTGTTGAAAGAGAGAGATGTGTCTGTATTGCCTGTCTTCAATAACATCAAATTTTTTTTTGTTTTTAGAAAAAAATAACATTTTTTTATTTTTTTTCTCCTTGAAAAAAAAACAGGTGATTGTAATCTATATTTAAAAAATCATCTTAAAATAATAAGAAGTCGATAAATACCTTACAGAAAATATTGTGCAGTTTGTAGAATAAAATAATAGAAAAAAATATTGAACAAATCATCTTTTGTATACACACACACACACACACACACATCTGATTTAGAATGAAATAAAAAACACTAACAACGCAAATCAACGTTTTTCATACAGTAAGGAAAAAAAATATATATAACCTAAATTAGCATTTTTCTACTAGAAGAAGAGAGAAGAGAACAAGAGAATAGATTGTTTTTTTTTTATTTTTTTATTGAGGATCATCATCGAAATATTTCTCTATATTAAATGATCTCTAAATAACGAATAAAAGTTAATTAGTAAAGTATTGTGAAATGATTCAATAGTAAACATTCTATTCTAATTACATAGACTTTAACTGAAGTAAATTAATTATTAATAGTATAGGTAGAAAAAATTCTTAATTTTAAGTGTATGTATTACTTGATTTTATTTTTATCAAAAAACATACATTTTTGTTAAGAATATAGTTTAACCTACATTAGAATAGAGTATAAAAATGAAATAATACTGATAGAGAAAACGTGCATAGATTAACTAGCGATGAAAGTAATATTCAATCTCATTGTTGATCTGATTTATGAATGCTTTCATCACAGACATACAATTCTAAATTTATGTAACTTAGTTTTAGATTAAAATAATTATTTATACATACTTTCACTTGGATATTTATATTTATCTCATATTTTTATTGAGTGTACAATTTACAATACTTTCAACAAATTAAGAAATAATTAGGCACACACTTGCACATACAAACCAACTTCTCAATATCCTATGTTTATTTTCTTCTGACAGTTTGGGATGCTATTATTATTATTATTATTGAGAATCAAACGTTACAATGACAGTTAGACACAAAGCATGGAAAATGACAGTTAGTCTAAGTATAAAAAATAGTTGCTAATTATTGTACTAATGCTTTCTATTACTAGAAAGATAAATCAGTAAATGGATCAAAGCATATCATGCTTCAGCTAATCTTTTCTTGTTATAGACAAGTTTCTCATGA